GCTGTCCACCTCACACCACCGCTTCACCTCCGTCAACTCTGTCATCCGCTCCACCTCCGTCTCTGCCCTCTCTTTCTTTTCCTGTCGCCGCCACCTCCCCCATCCCCTCCTCTCATCTCCACCGTCCTCCTCTGTCACTCATCACAGTCACTCTTGTCCACCTCTGTCGTCCATCGCCCCCGATCTCCTCCGTCGTTTGGCACAGTCATATCGCCAATCTCATATCTGTGTTGATGTGTATGTATACATGTATGTGTGTGTGTCTCTATTTGTCCTTTTTTTTTTTTTTTTTTGATAGTTGATCTGTTATTGTTGATGATTTTGTTGACGTTGAAAGTTGTTGATGATACTGTTGAAACAAATTTGGGCTGGGAAATTTTGGGTTTGAGGAAACCCGATCCCCGTTAGGGAGCAGGGACGGGGACGAGGACGGTGATAGGTTCTCCGTCAGGAATCGGGGCCGGAAGCGTGAAAATTTTTACAATCGGCGATCAAGAACGAGGAGTGTGATCAGTGGCGGAGCTAGGAATTTAATGTAGGGGGGCACCTATTAATTATAATCTCAAAAAAAAAATTCCCAATCAACAACAATAACATAATAATAATTTTTCGAGCTAATATTAAACATTAATATTCATTACAAAAAGTTTTTAATTTTAAACTTTTACAATTGACCCGACGAGTTTTCATCTTTTGAAATCTTGATTATAGTTCATAATCTGGGACCATATTCCTGGATCTGCAGGAAAGTCTACTAAGTTGATTTCTATGCGACTTTGTTTTGCGGAAGAATAATTATAATCTTATTCTTGAGGAAGAGATGGTTCCAACTTTGATTTTCTTTTGAAATATTTCTCCATGACTGTTTTAAAAACTAAAAATCAAAATAAAAATTCATAATCAAAATCACAAACCCCCCACAAATCAAAATCTCTAATTTTAATACAAATCAAAAAATTTAAATTTAGCACAAATCACAACAAATAAGATTTCTAATATACCAATATTATAACAAATGAAAGTCCCTAATGTAAATAACAAATACTACAAATTAATATTTTTAATTGTAGCACAAATCAAATCCCTAAATTTAGCACAAACAACAAACCAAAATCCCTGCTGTAATATAAATCACCACCAATTAAGATTCATAATTTTAGCACATCAAAATCTCTTATTTTAACATAAATAATAACAAATAAAAAAAATTTACAAATCAAAACTTAACAAATTATAAATTGATACTCATAATTTTTATTTAAAAATAAAAAATCATAAATAAAGTTACTTGTAAATAATGAAGAGAAGATATTAAAGTTGTAGTGTGATTCTAAATCTGTTTTGTGTGATTCTAATTTGATGAATCACGAGTTGATAAATTATAAAGTAACAAATAGGGCTGAGCAAGGAATCCGTGAAATCCGTAATCCGATCCAGTCCAGTCCAATCTAATAAGTTTGGATTGGTTTTTTGAATCCGTGGTTCGGTTCCGGATTGAAAAATTAAAAATCCGTAGTACACGGATTGGTTCCGGATTGAACCCCTCCGGACCGTATACAAATAGTATATATTTTTATTATACATCCTCCCCCATAGTATCTTCTCTTATTCTATATAAAATCTAAACTCAAACCTAAAACCGTATAATATCTTCTTTTATTACTTTTGTTTGTTAGTTTTTAGTTTTAATTTGTAATGGTCTAAATACTTATGGTGAAACCAGTTTTCTTATGGTTGTTTAAATTCTAGCACAGTATGTCGCTATTATAGAAATAGATGTTGCTATTGTGGAACTAATATAGCGCTATGTTTATATTTTTATGAAATTAAAGTGTTATATATATTTTTTTGTTATTTAATTATGTGAATCCGTGGTCCTAAACCGATCCAATCCGTATTTAAATGGATTGGTTCGGATTGGTTTCATGATTTAAACGGATTGGATTGGTTCCAATTTTTCAAGAACCGTAGATAACGAATTAGTTCTAATTTTACCTCAATTCAATCCAATCCGAACGATGCTCATCCCCTAGTAACAAAGAGATAAAAGAAGGGAATAAAAAAAAAAAAAAAAACCCTTGCTGCGGTTGTCCATAAATGAAACAAAAGAAAAAGAAAAATAATTAGGTTGGATTTGTGTCAGTTTGTTTGGATGTGTGTATTAGTGTTACATAAAAAATAAAAAAAAATACAGAAGTGTTTCAGTCAAAGTTGGCTGTGTATATAGAAAAAATATATATATATATCAAAAGTCAGGAGACCACGTGACCCCGGCTCCCATATACTTCCGCCCCTGAGTGTGATCCCCGTTCCTGTTCCGCCTTGTTGACATTCCTACCTAGTTGCCCCACTTTTGTAGCTTTTTGTTGATTTCACAAGACTTCCCAAGCTGCCACGTGTTTGCATTATTTGGGGAAAACTGTTCCTTGTAGCTTAGTTGTTGACTCATCCAACTGTCCAAACCCACATGCGTTATCCATTGGCAACAACCTCTGAACCATTCGGCAAAAATTAAGGGATAAGGCAACCATTTAAGGTGATAGGCCTCAACCAAAAACCTACTGTTTAGGAAACGATTGAGTCCTACTCTTTAGGAAACGATTGAGGCCGCTCAAATATCCACCAATCTTAATTAATCAAATTGACTTTGTCAACTTAATCAATCTATACTATTATAAAGTGAACACATAATATGGTGTCCTGAAATTTTACTCTCCTCATGCCATGTGGCAGTATTTTTTATTTTTTAAAAAAAAGTTAAACAAAGAGATGGGTAAGACTTGAACCTATGACCATGGGTTTAAGTACGACGACTCATACCACTTAAACTAAGTACACATTATAATATTAATTTCATTATTATTCTTTTTTATTCCTACTTATTTAAATTACACACATCGTATGTGCCACCTACTAGTTAAAATAAAACTCAGGCTTGTAGCCGCCATTTTGCCTTGAGGGTACTCCAAAATTGTCATACTTTTCACCTCGCTACGTGGCATTGAATTAAATGAAAAATTATCACGTGGCAATTTTGTCAAAAATGGTACAAACAGATATGCAAATCCAAAGTGGACGTAGAATTCTAAAACTTACAAAATTGAATATCATAAAAGATGCATAAATTTTGATACTTTGAATAATATTAAAAATTCATATTTAACAAACATGTGTTATTCATAATTTTTAATTATCTTTGACTTAAAATCATATCTTCTAGTTTATAATTTTTAGCCATATTTGGCTTAAGATCATGATCTCGAAGTAAATCTTCATTATCATTTTGTGATAAATTTTTAATATTTTTTAAGAAAATAGGTTGTTTTTTCTTTTTTATTCATTAATGGCTCATCACTCTTTGTCAAGTTTGGCAAAACACCTAAAAAAAAAAAGTGAATTTTCACCATTATCCTGTGATGAATGTTTTATATATACATTTTTTTTTTTTTTTTGACGAAATGGGTTGTTTTTCTTCTTTAGATTAATAGCTAAAAAAAAAAAAAAAAAAAGGTGAATTTTCACCATTATCTTGTGATGAATGTTTATATATATATATATATGTATATTGACGAAATGGGTTGTTTTTCTTCTTTAGATTAATAGCTTATGAAAACCTTGTGTAGTCATTTCATCTTTATGATTTGGTTATCTAAAAACATACATATTTATCTTCTGAGCCTGATACATTAGCTCTTCATAAATAATTGACTCTCCAAAATTAGGAGCATTAACCTCCCAAGTCACATACCTTGACTCTTCGTAAATAAGTGGCTCTCTAAAATTATGATATTAACTTCCCGAGCCACATACATTAGCTATTCATAAATAATTGGCTCTCTAAAAATAAATATATTAACCTTACGGATCACATTATTTTCATATCTTAATTTTTTTTTTTATTGGCCATTATGCCTCCTAATTTCTACCTCCAATATCAAATTTCTTCATCAATTAGGGAAATTTGGCCTTCAAGTTGATGAATTTTTTGATCAAAGTAACTTAAATATTTTTGCATCAAATAATACGGAGATGATAAAATTATTTAAAATCTTTGCATATAAAGGGAATTAATTTCTTTTAGGGTCAAAATTTCACTCCTGCACCAATAAATTTCATCTTCATAACGCAAAATCATTATTTCCAAATCATTTGTCATGCCATTATGTTGACAATAAATGGTAGAACCACCACCACCATAACATTGATAATTTGTATCATGGGAACAATATCATTCCATTGGTGGTTTGCACCATAACTGCACAAGATGTAAATATGCCACTTGAAGGCATGATTCCATACACATTAGTCTGCTTCTTCATTACCATAATTCCAAATTAGAAATGTCCCACAAGACGTGCCAATTTATATTAGTAAAAATTTAGTTAAGGTCAATCGACAGGCAAAACTAAGGGTTGGTTTGGGGTGTCCTAAAAAAGTACACTTTTTGTCTTTTTACGAAAAGATGTGCAAAAAAGTAGAGAGGTGATGTAATGATAAAAAGATAAAAAGATGGATTATATAGGTTATGCCAAACCTTAGTTTTTACAAAACAAAACAGACCATCTCAAACAAGTTAAGGATTTCTTTGGAGACAATTAAGTAAAGAAGAAATATAAATAAACAAAAGAACTAAATTTGTATTAATCAAATGGAATTGTCACTTGCCACAATTTAAACAAGAACAAAAACTTCAGAAATATACTGGACGACAGAGAAATGGTAACAAGTTATCACTGATCTATTCGTAAAATGCTAACTAACTACCAAACAGAAACTACTCCTACAAAGTTGAGTTGTGTTTGGTTGATGATCCTATGCTTTGTTTCTTCCTTGCCTATTTACAGACACCGATGGTCTCTTTGATAAAGAAAACTGCTAGGCAGTTCTCCCCACGTTGAACACCCATGATCTACATGTGGGCTAGGTTATGCCATGAACACCCACGTCGCCTAGTTACATGCTTTGCACAAAAACAGTAACAAAAACATTAATATTAATACTAATAAAAACAAATGTGGTTAAGATTATTTTCAAAGATGGTTTATGGTCTGAATCAATAGACCATAATTGATAAGGCCATAATCAACTAAAATAAATTTGGCTACAATCAACAAAACACAATAGTCAGAATTAAAATATGGTGTCAACACCGTCCAAACAATCAAAGTAACAAAGCGTCAGTGTATACTCGACAGGTTACCTTACATTGCTGAGCAGTATGCTGTACAGTGAATATTGTCCTAAGATGTGATCAACTGAACAGCTTAGCAAGAATTTCCGGGTTGAGCTTCTGGAGTGATGAAAACTGAACCGTTTGTTTTGCCAAAACCCCAATTACCCGATCCATGTATAGAGAACTGATGCTACCCACTCTTCAAACAGCACTGCAGGGTCACCATTAAAAATCATTTTTCCCAATCGTTTATTCCCGGTTTGGTTCCACTTATTTAGTTTAAAATTTGAAATCACATTATTATTTTTCAGGCTCTCGGCTTATTTACTATTTTTTGTCTTGAAAATCTCAAAATAAGCTCAAATGACTAATTCTTTAAAAGTTAGTTTTAGATGTTTTTTTAAGTTTTTTTTTTTTTTTTTTTTTTTGTGTTGCCAAACGGAGAAAAATTCTTCAGAGATTTTGAACGTCAATAAAGGAAAATGCTTCACCACTTGCAGAATGTCGAGTATGTGTCCACTTTTTTTCAGTTGGAAAGTTCGGGCCTGTTTGGATTTTTTATTTTTTTTTTGGATAACACCATAAGCATATATATATATATGTTTATCAAGTAGGAAAGTTGTTTACACATCTAGCCAGATCATGTGCTATCTTAATTACAGTACGTTTAACCTTATACACAGCAAGAAAGTTAAAACATTTACTAATTAGCCGAATGTCAGCTACAACAGATTGCGCATTCCAAGTGGACTCGGATTGATCTTTTAAGGCGTCAACCAATTCCTGAGAATCTGTGCATATAGTGAATCAGTGATATTGAGCATGCCTTGATCTCTAGCCAAATTCATGGATGTGGATTTTAAATCAATGAATTTGACCTTGGACATTTAGTGACTATAACTCAAATTTAGATATGATAATTTACATATGAACTTCAAGATTGAGTTAAATAGCTTTATCATGATGGATTTGAAATAACTATAAGAAAGTAGTTATTTGAAATCAAGCAAGAGATTCTCTTTCTAGCTACAAGGATTCTACTAAAATATATATATATATATATATATTCTATCGCAACTTATCTTCTTCCATTGTTTTTCTATCTATTTAACCTCGAATCCCTTGATTTGAAATCCACATTTATCCAAACAAATTCTAACACTGTAGTAACTTAGGAGAGAAAAGAAAACAAGTGATTATGTAAGTTATGAGAGAAAAGAAAAGCAATGATAATGATTTCTTTCCTATCTTGTATGGTTAAGCTATAGTTAAGCTATATAATTTTTTTATAAAAAAAAAATTTAAATGATATAATGTTATTTTAGCAAATTAACCTTTTATATGTGTTAGTCTTTTTCTTTGTTCTATATCTAAAAGGGTAGTTTTGGTATTATAACAAAATAGTATTTAGTTGGGTTTCATTTCTCTCCCAATCTCTCCACTTTTGGAGAGATTCAAAATAGGAGCTATGCAATAAATATATTTCTCTTCATTTCTCTCCCATTTTGTAATCAAAGCAAGTTATTGAAATTCATTTCTCACCATTTCTTTTCTTCTCGGATTTAAATTCATCATACATGAAATTAATTATAATGAAGCAATTACTGGAAAAATATGAAGTAAATTTAATATGATCAAATGTATGCTTACTGATGTCAAAAACTTCACTGCTTGACCAAGACAGTAAGTAGTCCAATACAAGAAACTCAATCAGCTGGATCCTGTCATCGACATAACAAATGTGACAAAGCTATCCTGAAAGCATCAACTGATAAGTTAATTCACGTAAAATATTTTACATGATTTCAAATTCAAACATCAAAGTGTGTATAAAGAATTACAGATTGTTCGTCTGGTAGCCGAAAAACTTGAATTGGTCATTGTAATTACATACTAAGCAAGGCCAAACTATCCTGGTAACATCTAATGATTGATATTTACTAAATTAATTGAAAGTGGAATAAACAATTTTAGCAGTAACGATAATTAGCCTTTGAGAGGTGAGTGATTGACAGAAGGAAAGGAGGGGGAAAAGAAAAAAAAAAGGGTGCTTAGGGGTGAAAAGGGGTTGAAACAAGGTTATATATCCTGAAAGCATCATACCCTAAATTCAGTGTACTTCAGGGCACTGGCCCAATGAAAGAAGCCAATAACCCTAAGGTTGTGTTTGGATTTATAGATTTGAAATGAAAGGATTTGGGCACTAATCATTAAGAAGAATAGCTCAAATTTAGATATAGTTCAGATACGGATTTCAAGATTGGCTTTGAGTGCTTTACATTGAATGGAATATGATGGATTTGAAATAGCAATGTAAAGTAACCATTGTTGTCAAATCTCAAATCGAATCGTGAATTGTTTTGCTAAAATAATGAATCGTGAATCGTAAGATTCATTCTATTTAATATATATATATATATATATATTTTTTTTGAAAAATGTCCGGGCCAGCTTACGCGCACCTCGACCAATCTCTGGGGGACCAATCCTACCGTCCACTAGCGGGGGACCCATTTAAAGTCAGAGCAAAGCTCTGTATGGACTGGCCCAACACAAGGATTGATAGCACCTAAGAGGTTTTGAACTTGAGACCTAGAGTTATACAATTCTATATATTTATATACATATAAAAATACATACAATATTTCAAATAATGTAAATTATCAATAACTAAATTATATATATGTGTATACATATAAAACACGTATATCTATCCTATTATATAAAGGGAAGGCTTGTGATGGTGTTGACACTTTTGTGTCACATATTTTGGATTTTTCCAAAATACTCTTGTAGTTGATATTTAAGCAAAAAAGAAGAGGACAAAACTTGAAATCAAGATCACTAGTTTGGCAAAGCAAGCCCTTATCACTTAAGCAACAAATACTATATTTGCATTTTTCTTTATCATTATTCTTATACCATTACATTTTTTTTGAATTGCGTGTGCAGTCTGCTAGTCAATATAACTAACTAATTTGTTCTATATATCTTTATAGTTTAGCGAAAAACGACGTTGTTTCATGTATTATGTAAACAAAAATAAAAATAGTACTAAATTGCAGTGAATTGTGCAAATCGTAATGAATCGTAGAGAATCATAAATTAAATCGTACCATTCACTCAATTTTCGATTCAATAGCACGATTCGAATCTTTTTTGTTGAAACTCGTATCGAATCATATGAATCGAATAGTGAATCGTACGATTCTAACAACCATGAAAGTAATTATTTGAAAGCCTTCTTGCTAAAGGTTTAGCCATACAAAAAGATCATAATAATATAATTCTATTCTTACTCTACTCTATCTTTCCCTTTAGTTTCTCAATCTACCTATAATAGACAAGTCTTAATAGCAGGAAACTCCTACTTGGGTGGCGTTTTACTCATAAATGTATTTGATGCAGGACAGCATTGTAAGAACTGTTCTGAAAGAAGGAAATGAAAAAGATAAATCTAGGAATCACTGCTAGAATTTCTTAGACATCACACCTAGGGTTTGATTGCATCACACAATCCATGAAGAAGCTTTAAAAGCTCTAAAATTCTCTAAAATATCAAGTCTATTGAATTAATAGCATTATATGGCTTTATATAGAACAAAGAGACTTCCTAAACCAACTAGAATCAAAAAAAGAAACTACTATAATATTTTAGACTCCAAAACTAATTTAAGACTATGAAACACAAATAAAACCTAATTGAATAACTTGACTCACAAGACGACCCATAGGCGACCTGTATAACCCATGTCTAGAAATTATGAAATTTACCAAAATACCCTAAACTAAAATAATGATAATAATAATAATAGAACATGACTCATAAGCGTAAAACATAACTATCCATGGTCCCAAATGACTTGCTCATCATCCAATGCATGCCAAATCAACGCTTGGGCCTTTAAAACATCTCTTCCTCGTCTCTTGTACACTTATATAGAACTAAGAGACTTCCTAAACCAACTAGAATCAAAAAAAGAAACTACTATAATATTTTAGACTCCAAAACTAATTTAAGACTACGAAACACAAATAAAACCTAATTGAATAACTTGACTCACAAGACGACCCATAGGCGACCTGTATAACCCATGTCTAGAAATTATGAAATTTACCAAAATACCCTAAACTAAAATAATGATAATAATAATAATAGAACATGACTCATAAGCGTAAAACATAACTATCCATGGTCCCAAATGACTTGCTCATCATCCAATGCATGCCAAATCAACGCTTGGGCCTTTAAAACATCTCTTCCTCGTCTCTTGTACACCTTAAGAGGCTGCTGCCACTTGCCTCCATCAGTATTTCTACACTCCCAAGTAAGAAACTCACTCCTGTCGAGAAAGAAAGTCGCTCCCAACTGAAATAAAAACTCTTAAACATACCAATCTCAAGAAACAAAAGAAATACAACTTAAACTTATTTATAGTACTTTCTATTTACATAATATTTATTTATACAATAAAAAGACAATTTGTAGTTGACATGAATCTCAAATATTTATGCATATTTTAATACATTTTACAATTAAACAGAAAAAATAATTGCTAGAATATATTTATATATTTAATATACAAACACGCTCCCATAGGTGCTCCCAATCCTAGAAACTTCTATATGCCCTCACTCCCCCACTCCCGCTCTTGTCCCCATCCCTGCTTCGTGCAACTAAGAGCCAAGTCTCCTATATTTTTACAAGTTTAACCTCAAATCTCTTCATCTGAAATCCATCTATCCAAATTGTTAGACTTATTTATTTTGATAATTTATTTAATTATGTTTTAATTTATTTGAAAGAGAAAAATAGAATCCAAAATTTATTTAATTATATTTTAATTTTTTTGAAAAAGAAAAATAGAATCAAAATTTATTTTGATGATTTATTTGAAAGAGAAAAATAAAATCAAAATTTATTGTCCAATTATTTCTCACCTAAATCTTTATTCTAAATGTTGTTAGAATATATTTAATATTTGATTAAATTAGGAGTTCAAACAGCTCAAAACAAAAGTTCAAACAGCCCAGCCCAGCAGTAGGCCAAAAGGTTCAAGTGAAAGATATTCAAATTAGTAATGATGAAGTGGAAGATATTCAAATTAGTAATGATGGAGTACAATGGCTATAAATGGTTATAAATTCAAATGAATACAACGGCTATATGTTTCATTATATATACCAAAGCCTCTAAATTAATGTAAACAAGTGACAAGAAAAACTAGAAAATATTCTTTGATCTATAATCACTCACATCTATTCTCTGAAAAATTCTCTGAGAAGTGTTCTTCAATTTTTGTTTGCATCCTCTCTCAGAAATTATACATGGAGCCTTATAGCATTAAGCTCATCTTTCCTGTGTGAGATTTACAGAAAAATCAAAGCTTCATTTTATATATCTATCTTTGAGAGATATTTATTCTAAGCTTTCTTTGAAAGAAAAAATATCATTTCATCTTGTAAAAGTGTTGCAAACACTGTGTTCTTGAAACCTTGAGAGTGATTGTGAATCACCTAAGATTTGCAAGGGTTTGGGCTTGTGAAGTCTATGTAAAATCCATAAAAGATTGCTCTATTTGTAAAAAGGTTGCTAGCACCCTTGTGAAGCTAAAAGATAGTAGAAAATCTCACCTGAAGCTTAAGGAGTGGATGTAGGCTTGGTTGAAGCCGAACCACTATAAATCTGTTTGTCTCCTCTTTCCTAATCTCTTTACTTTCCTACTACTGTTATAGCTATCTAATATTCATGTGTTAATCATTTGATTTACCCTGTATGTATAAATCTGTTTGTCTCCTCTTCCCTAATCTTTTTACTTTCCTACTACTGTTATAGCTATCTAATATTCATGTGTTAATCATTTGATTTACCCTGTATGTTAGTTATACTTCATTGTTATTTTGCTTGATCATTTACTGCTAAGTTCATCATTGTGCTTGTTAATAATTTGTTGTATTAGTAGTTAATTTTATTGTGGTATTATTAATTTTAATTTGTAGAAACCTAATTCAACCCCCTCTTAGGTTGCTTTTGGTAACACAAATGAAACCTTAGACACTACAAATTACAAAAGAAATAAGAACGAACATGTAATGAGCTTCCAATTTATCAATAGGCATGTTGATTTATAATCTATGAAGATAATCAAGTGAAATATGCGTCATCAATTGAAACTTATGTTACGTAAAACATGGATCGTTTCGGCATGTAGAATGGGAACGGGAACATGATACACCACATGCTCTAAAATGTGGTACAATAGGAGTAGACTTGTATATATTACACTTAAGAATATAGGGTGCTTCTAGAGTAATTTTCTTTTAACTATTAGGCATCCAATAATATATATATATATTTCATTTTTGATGTTTTTGTCTTGTCAATCATCTTAGATTTTAGTTCATTATATTTGATTTTTTTTCCTCCTAAGGTAACATTTAAGGAAATATATTAAAAAAACTTTAGGATCGCTTTGGATCACTAAATTTACTATTTTGGAAGGAAGTGTACCATGTTTTGAAGCGTGCATACCAATACGTAATTGGCTAGGTTATTAGCGTTTTCTAGTAACATAGATTGGAACCAATAAGAGCAAATTAGACAGTCTTGTTCAAGAATCAAGTGATGCATCTATGAACACAATCAAGAGGTCGATAAGCAACATATACAATCATTTATGATTTGACACTTACATCCTGTACATACAATCATGCATGCTAGGAAAAGAATCATCAAATGGATCCATGAAAAGCAAACTTTCTGCCAGCACAGAAATTCCTTCAGAAACAGAAAGTATCACGCGCTGTCCGATATAGGGCTCACTTCCAAGCTTACGAATCAAGTGCTGAACATAGAACTGGGCACCAGTGTCACAGTGATGTAATTCTGAAACAGAATATTGAAAAGCGTAATCCAACGATTATTAACTAAAAGAAGTTGAAGAGTAAAATTAAATAGCAGTATGATTGAGCAACTGAGGGTAAAATATGGCAACTTGTACTATTGTTCATTTTTCTTAGAGGGTCACAGTCATTCCAATGGAATGATTAATAATGAGCTTTGAATTGCAGCCTAGCATTCATGTAGCTGACCCTACTTAAGCCGGACACAAGGCTTAGTTTGATTTGGTTTGGTTTACTAAGTAATGGGAATGTGTTGATTTAAAAATACTTTCCTCCACAATCTTGTCAGAGCTTATTTAAAGCAAAGATGTTTTGCATTTGGATGTGTTTTAATTTTTAATGTATTCTCTGTTTTAATTTTGTCCTATTATTTTCTTTTATAATGGGATTAGAGTGGTCTATGAAATTTTGAAAGACGAGAAACTTTTTAAGTTTTGTGATGCATTGACAGTTTTAGTAATTACATAGCAGTGCTAGACATTTCTGTGGTGACTTAGAACCTTGTAAGAGATTCAGGAAACTAGTGTCCAATTGCACACTGTAACTATGTGCTCTACTAAAAATTGAATAAGCTCCTTGTATTTCCAAAATTCCTTACCCTTCCTTTGGTTATATAAACCCTTTAACCTATTGGCAACATCTTTCATTCACCTACATCTCTTTTCTACCTCTTTTTATTCTTCTCTATAATTGTGGTTTCAAACAAAACAAAGCAAAAAAAAAAATCTCTTGCCTTTCCTTTTTCTTTCTTTTTAATTTTTGTAGAGTCAAGGTTCAAGAGAAGGCGAGAGCTGGCAGATCTCAGGTGCTTTCAAACTTCAAAGTCTTGATGTACGAAAGTTTTGATATTTTCTACAATAATTGTAGTTTGGATTACTCATTAGCACTCTCACAAGAACAACAATTGTTCAGTCCATTGGGCAGATAAGCAAAAAGCCTACCCTTTCAACTTTCATCCAATTAATTAAATCATAATCAAAATTAAGAAACTAATAGAGTGCTTGGAAACCAAAAAAGCAACTTTTTAGTTCTTTTTTTTTTTTGGACCTAAATTTGTTTTCTGAGATTGGAAGCATCTAGCTTTTTGGGAAAAAAAAAAAAAATATATATATATATATATATTGCTTATTATCACCTCTACAGTGACAACAAATTAACATCCTTACATGGCTTATCAAAATATTTAAATTTTCTGACAAAAGCTGTGCCAAACAGGATCTTCTCAACTAGGTTTGTCATGTAATATGAGTACTACTGTTTAATTGAGTCAGCAAAGAATTTTGTAAGTGGTCTTTAATCCACTGAGATGCATATCAGTGAGGTGTAGATGATGGAAAATTTGAAGGAAAATTGAGAAATTCAGAAGAGTTCATGCCCTTCAGTGAGAAGGAATTTGATAATCTCTTTGTACTATCATGATAATATTTTATGGAGTCCTCGTGAAGATTTGGCATGCATGTCTCTTTCCAAGCATATTACTCTATAATTAAATCAAGTATCAGGATGAGAGTATGAAAGTTCAAGTATTGGATTTTAAGAATATGGTGTATTACAGAAAAATGCACGATAATTCTTGCTAATGTGTCATCTTACAAGCAAATAGACATAATCACAATACAAAGTAGCATCACCACAAATTCTTGCAACCATGAAGTTTGTTTACCACAAGTTAAAGAAAAGGCACAAAGAAGACTGGCAAACTAACGCCAAGGTCTCATACTAGAACCACGGAGTTTTAAAAAAATAATGATAATAATTTGGATAATAAACGCATCTAAATGCTTACCATCTCCTTGTGATGTAGTGCACATTATTCTCACCAGACGCACAATTAAGCTGCTGATTATTCCTTCAAGAAGTTCTGTGTTCTTTCTCTTTGGCAATATATTCTTTAACGCAGCTTCAAAAAAGGAAAGGGAAAAAAAAAAGAATAAAGTTTTATACTGGGCTCAAAAAAGAGGGGAAAAGAAGATACATCTTGAATAAGAAGACAAGTACTAGAGCTACAAATGGATCCTGTTGCAGCACTATTTATGTACAGAAGAAGCTTACAAATTATTCAGAACAGTTTAGTGGCATATTATTTAAATTTAACCTCAAAATGCAACTAGAACTACAAAAAGGGTGCGAATGTATATAACCATATCCAACCTCAGCATAGCACTTCCATACCTTAAAACAAGGGTCGATTTGGAGGCTCTTAATGAAGTTAAAAACTACAATAACATTCCAAAAATGCTTCTGAATTATCAGATCAGACCTTATTCTTTTCGGCTTTAAGAATGATCAATCTCTTTTATAAACAACTTATCTTACTCTAAATTATCTATCACTAGACATTATAATAGAATGTAACCAATAAATCCCAAAATAATTTTTTTCTGATTGGTTTTTAAATTATTGTTACGTACTTGGTTGGCAGTCATTTTTTCCCAAGCAAGCTTATGACTGGAGCATCTCGGTGTTGTAAGTACATATAGGACGTAAAGCAGCCTATGGTGTGATATATCTACATAAAAGTATCTATAATTATATTATTACACTGGTGGATTGCAGAGTAATATCACGGATAGCATTAGACAAAGAAGCAGGTTGCAAAACACATGTAAATATAGGTCAGATAAAGTTATGCCACAATAAAGAAGGTACTTCACAATACCTAAAATGAAGTCCACAGCTTGGTGTGACCACTTTGCAAAATTCATCTCCTCAACCTGCAATACAAAATTTAAGAATTGCTGAAGAATGTAAAAACAGATAGCACATTCACAGGGTGAGAAGATCACATAAAGCAGATAAAGTCAGGGAATAACACACTTTGTCAGGACAAACAGATTCACAGAGCTCCACAAGAAAATCAACTGAGGCCCTAAGCTGCTCGGTTTCATCTTCACTGTTACAGCCTGCCAATTATATCAACATAACAAATTAGAAACAAAATTTTTTCTCTGAGTTTGACCTTACAACAAAATAAATCCTGATTTTTTTTTTTATTTTGTCAATTTAAATCCAAATCTTTTAAATTGTTTTCAATCTAAACCATCAGCCTATTTCTGTTAAATAAAACCAAAGAAAAAAATGGTATTTTAGTCATCAAACTCAATGTACATGTTCACAAAATGATTAAAATACTCTTTTTTTGGTAGTTCTACTTTAACAAAAATAGACCGATGGTTTAGGTTGAAAATAAATATAAAAAAAAATTAGGATTAAAATTCATAAAATCAAAATTTTGGGGTTTATTTTGTTCCAAGGGTTAAATCTTGGAGTTTTTTTTTTTTTTTTGTAATTTCCCTTTATTTATTTTTTTGTTTTAAAAGGGGACTCACGCCCACAGTTTTGAGGTGAACCAAAAGTTGAAATTATATGAATAAGACCAGGACAAGAAATTGAAAAGTTTTACACGAATGAAAACAAGATAAATATCCATCTGCCATTCAAATTTATCAAATTCAAACTTAAATTAAAAGTGAGTGGTAGTATAAGAATACCAGAAAAACAATGTCGCTGTGTTGAACTCTCTCTTCTCCTTCTTCTTTCATTCAACCTCACTGCAAATTCAAAAGCATTAGTCTGGCACATACAAACATCACACGGAATAAGAACAGGGAAGTGTACAGTGATAATCATAATAACGAAACCGAGTGTAATGTATGACCTTGTCTGAGAAATCTCCGACGCAAAACGTCATTAAATCTCCGATCAGAGCTATCTAAAAACCGATTAGGGTTCAATTCCCCCAATTTATCGAAGAAATAGCATACACAAGACGCACTTTGCGGAAACAAGTCGCATTGTGAATTGTCTGGAACCAAAAACCGCAAAAACATGTAATGTAATCATTCAATCTCCACCAAAAACCAAAGACACATACATAGATGTATATTTGTAGAGAGAGAAGAAACCTTCAGCTTGCTTGAGGTCTTCTTTGAGCCTGAGAAGCTCTTGTTTTCGATCCTTCGCCTGAAAGGTCCAACAACGTGGACGAAATTATGCTTTTGGATCTGATCGTTCTTTCAGAGAGAGAGAGAGAGAGAGAGAGTTTTGGAAGAGAGAGAAATGGACCTTTCGCTTCCATTTTTGAGACGTGGATTGCGAAGATGGAGAAGCAGATGGATGATGAAGAGGAGGAGGAGGAGGAGGAGGAGGAAGTTTTTGGAGGAGCTTTGATCGGAGAAGGGCCATTGTTATTGCGAGCTTCAGAGATGTATTCGAATAACCTCAAAATGCAACTAGAACCCATCTCCTTCCGCCCTTCTGTTCTGTGTGTGGGAAGTATGCGGGACGAGATGAAATTTATCTAATATTTATTTATGGGTAAATTGCATTGACCTCTTTCTGACAAATACAGACCTCTCCGGTTGGTTAATAATTATTGAAAAATACTTTCGAACACTAATTAGTGATCTCACTAGATAGGTGGCAGTAGGTCTCGTCATTAATGATGTGATGTTTTGATTTTAGAGTTATGTTTTTTTTTTTAATGCATTAGTGCTATTAGTGGTGATGTTTTTAGTGGGATGAATCATTGTTGATAATTATGAGCAAGGATCCTTTAAATTTTATTTTTTAAATGTGTATTGTATGGTTGAAATTTAATAATAAGTCACATTAATTTTTTAGTATTAAATCTTAACCACACAATATATCACTTTAAAAAATTTTTAAAAATATATATCTAGAAGATCCTTGGTGAATAATAATACGACATTGCCTAATTTTTTTCTTTTTCCAAATTAAAATAAACGGTATTACTTTTTTTTATAACAAATGACTTTATTACTTTTTCTTTTAAAATATTAAAAAATATTTTTGGTTGGAGGATAAGTTTGGAAGAAACAAAACAATGATATGTTTAGTTTGGTTTTGAGGAAGTAGTTTTTAAAAATTATTTTAGAAAGAAAGTTTAGAAATTTTTTTGGTTTATTTAGTTATGTATTTTGAAAATAGTTTTTGATTGTGGGAGTTTGAAATGATTTGATATTTTATTATAATTGAGTAGATGTGTGTGAGAGAGAAAAAGTGATTGAGAATAAGGGAGGAAAGAGAAAAAATGGTTGATTGATGCAATGTTTTAAAAACCGGACCGGTGAACGAACCGGAAAAAAGATCGGGTGGACGGGTCACCGGTTCAACCGTCGGGTTGAACCGGAATTGAACCGTGACGTAATAAATATATTAAAATTATATTTAAATAAAAATATAAGTAATAAAATTATAAATTAAAAATATTAAATTATCATTAAATTATCTTAAATATTTCTCCTAATTTTTATAATAATATATTTTAAAATATTATTAATTTTAATTTTGGAAGAGGAAACCAAATATTTAATATTCTCTCCATATGATTTTAATTCAAATAATTTAATTGAAAGAAAAGTAAAAATTTTAGAGGGATATCAAAATTTCAAGTCTCTCTCCAATAAATTTGATTGAATCCCACATAAATTTTTTGATTTTTTTTGGAAGAATTTTTTTTCTTAAAAATAGGTAAAGATTTTCATAATAATTTTAAACTCTCAATAAGATTCTTCACAAGAGGAGACCTAGAAAGAGAGTTTATAATTTAAATTTTCTTACATATATATAAAATAAGAAAGAAAGAATAAAAAAATAATTAGAAAATATCAAACAAAAATTCAAAATTTTTAATTTCTTTAACCTGGATGGTTTGCTTGACCTGTCCCCGGTTCAGTAGTCCAATCGCCGATTTTTTCGATTCTCTCTAAATAGATCGGTTTTTAGATTGGAACAATTTAGGAAATATATCCGGATCAAAATCTTGACTGATCAACGATTCAACCAGTTGAACCGACCAATAATTATAATTTGAAAGCTCAAAACAAACAATACGCTCAAATCAATGGGTGGAACTATAATTTGAGAATTGTGCCAAACGGAGCCTTACTTTTTCATTTTCTGTATTTTTTTGTTTTCACTAATTTTTTTTTAATATTTTAAGCAATTTTTTTAATTTTTAGACACACCTAACATAAATACACTTAGAAAGTATAATATTTGTGAAAAAAAATCTTTAAAAAATTCACTAAATACAAAAATAAATAAATAAATATTCAGTACATTTTGTGTATTTATTAATTTTTTATAATATTTTTTTCACAAATAATTTACTATTTAGATATATCTAAGTAAGGCATGTCTAAAAAAGTAAAAAAATTGCATAAAAATTAAAAAATATTCACTAAAAACAAAAAAATATAAAAATCAAAATATTCAATTTTTAAAAAACTGAATTTAAAAAATTGAAACTAAACACATTGAATAATGTTTATTGATGTGCACTTAGCATGACGACTCAACAAAACATCCACCTAGATGTTCAATCCCTCTAATCCAAACGGATTATTTCTGAATATTATCTTCTTATTCAAACTACTAATTCGCTCATCCAAACACTTTTATAGTCTAAACGGGCTCTCAATACAAACTTTCATTTTACAAACAAACATGATATTGTTCCTCTCCAACCAACTAACAATCCAGTCCGGAGGTCCACTTTGGAAAACAAACAAAGCCAAAATGTACAACGGAAAATACTTCGTAGCTCGAAATTGGTGGCTCGAATACCCAAAACGACGTCATTTTGGGTATTCTTTTTTTGTTTGTGCTTTTCTTTCGAACACAGAGGGAAGTGAAGGGAAGAGAAGAGAAGAGAAGGGAGAGAAAGAGAAGATAAGAGGAAGAGAGAAGAGGCGATGGCGGTGATGCCGGTGGCAACTTAAAGGTAGGACTGGTTTCATTTGCTCCCTTGCCTACTCTGGATCGAGAGAGGGCAGTCGCTCTTCCTTCTGCTAAGCCCAATCGAGTGAGTTGTTGTTGATAAGATGTTGATGAAATTGTTGATAAGATGTTGATACAAACCCACCGATTTCTCAGTTTTTTGGGTTTTTTTTTTTTTTTTTTTTTCTTCTTCTAAGTAGATCTGGATCTGAATGAAAAATATATATATATATATATTTGTTGATATTGATGAAAATGTTGTTGTTGTTATTGATGTTGATGAAGATGCTTTGAAACTCTGTTTCGATCTCTCTGTTTTCTCTTCTTCTTCTTTTTTTTCTAAGTAGATCTGGATCTGAATGACAAAAAAATAAAAATAAAAATTGTTGATGTTGATAAAGATGTTGCTGTTGATGTTGATAAAGATGAAGATGCTCTGAAACTCTATTTTCTCTTATTCTTCTTCTTTTTTTTTTTCCCCCTAAGTAGATCAGGATTAGAAAAAAAATACCAAAGTAAGAGAAAGAAACTGATCTTCATTGTTTCATCAGTTTCTTTAATCAGTTTCATCAGTTTTCATGTTGATCAGAAACGAGGGTGATCATAAAAAAATGTTGTACATCAAAATCAGTTTGATTAGAACATCTTTGATCAGAAAAATCAGTTTTCATCAAAAAAATTATCAATGAAATGTTGATGAAACTGATTTGTTGTACATCAAAATACTGATTAACAATGAACATCAAAATACTGATTTGTTGTATATCAAAAATGTTTCAGTTCTTTGATCAGTTTCATCAGTTTTCTTCTTCTTCTTCTTCAGCTTTCTTCTTCAGTTCTTTATAACGTGTGCAGTTCTTCAGCTCTCTTCTTCGGCTCTTAAGTTCAGGAAAAAAAAGAAAAAGACACCAAAACGACGTCGTTTTGGTGTCGAGCCACAGTCAAGCCACAGACTTTCAAGCTACGAATCGGAACTGCTATAGAAAATGTAATACCGTTTGTTCCAATTTGACAGCAAGGGAGAATCTAGAGAATATCAGGTAAAGTAGGGGAGGTTATTGTAATTATTAAAATTACAAAAAAGGTCATTGTATTTGTCAAAAATCTCAAGGGAAGTCAGTGTAATTTACCCTTTATTTATTTGTTTTTATCAAAAATGATTGACACACGTAATTTATGACACATAAAAATCATTCTTAATGATAGGTAATAAGTATTAGATTCAGGCCTAGTTTAGAAAAAATGTTCTTTTAATAATTTTTTGATTTTTTTATGAAAAGATATACAAAAAAGTACAAAAAAATAATGTGCTAATTTATAATGTATTTTTGGACTTTTTAACTAAATTGAAGGTTACCAAACAGAGGCCTGTTATGACATTATCATTTTGAAATTATGATCCAATCTATTATATAAATTATTAATAATTAAAACTTTTAAAATTATGTCAATTAATATATCAATTGATGCATATAATAATATTCATTAAATTTTGATTTGTTAGATATTTTATCATGTGGTGTTTAATTTTAATGTTGCATCACTAAAGTCATTTAAAGATGATAAATTAGAAGAATGTAACATTGTTATTTTTTTATTATTACGTATTTTGTGGGCTATTGTGAGCCTAATCTGAGCTCATCTCGATATCATTCAAATCATTCAATGGGTAAAACTTATTAAGTATATTATTTTTTAAAAAAATTACGTTAATTAAATATTGATAGATATTTTATTATATCATATTTAAGTCAATAATAAATATAATTTTTGAAATAAATTGTAATAAAAATGTGATCTAATTAAGTAATTATTAATATAAAATTATCATGATTATTTACAAAAATAATATACCCAACAAATTAATATATTTAATAATTTAAATTATAGAGATGGGTCAAGATTAAGGCCAAAAACGGGCCAGCACTACTCTCTAGTCCAACTACGGATTGGAGCGAGGCAAATCATTTTTGTTTTCTAATTAAAATGTTATCAACATGTTATAAATTTTATTAAAAATTTAAATAAATATTTTATATAAGTTGCATATTGCGAGTGTCGCATACCACAGAGGATATTTGATAAAAATTTTAATAAAAATTTTAGTAAATTTTTTTGAGAGGTTTGGCATTACTAAAAAGCTATGGATTCGTCAAGATCAATGGCTGTGATCTAATTGGCCCGGCCCATTGTTTTATCTTCAGTTGACGAATCGCGATGATGACAGAGAATGGAAGAGTCCGTGAATGAGTGAGAAAGAGAGAGCGAGGAGAGAGAAATACAGTAGTAGTGTGTGGGAAGAATGGATAAGGTCTGAATTTACTGTTAACCCTCTCACAAGAAGTTCGTAGAAACGCCATGGCTGGGTTCACCAGCACCTTCCCTTTCAAACCACTCCTCTCCTCCTCCGCACCCAAACCCTCTCTACTTTCTCTCTCCTCATTCGATTCCAAGCTCTTTGGTCTCCGCATATCTAACCCTGACTTCTTCAATTCCACCTCCCATTTCTCCGCCCTCCGCTGCTCCATCTCCGCCCGCTACGGCGGCGGAAGCGGAGGAGGCTCCTCTCGGTCGGGTTCCGGTGATTATAGGCGGTCGAAGCAAAGCAACTCCGACGATGATCAAGCTCTCGATATGTCCACCGTAAGGTAGTGTGAGATTCAATTTATTAATTCAAATACTTGAGGGTTAATTGCATTTTTATAGCCTAAATTATTCCTATGTTTTTAATTTTGGTTCATGTGATTCAACTGGAGAGATTATACAAATTCAATAATTGTTGAAGCCTAATTTAATGACAAAAACGTTATTTTAGAATTTAAACAATTTAAATCATACCCCCCCCAAAAAAAAAAATTGTATGATTTAAATTGGTCAAATTTTAAAATATTTTATTTTATTTTATTTTATCTGTTAAGTTAGCTTAAACGTTTATTGATTTGGATAATGGTCTCTAATTAGATTACATGAACAAAAATTAAAAATTTTTGAGGACTAAATAGGCGAAATTAATATAGGAATGAAATAGAAAAAATGAGAATATTTTAATGGATAAAAGTGAAATTAACACAATATTTAAATGAATTTATTAAGAACTTGAAATTGCAATTGAGGGGTTTGTCAATGTGGTGATTTGAAATAGGTCGGATACTGTGAGACTAATTGATGCACAGCAGAATATGGTTAGTAGTAATCTTTTTTTGTTCTATATTTTTTTTTTTAAATTTAAAAATAATTATTTTGGCTATGTGACCGATTTCTAATTGGTCCTTTTATGTTTGTGAGGGGTTTTTGTTGCAATTGTAGGTGGGAGTGGTGTCTAAAAATGAGGCTGTTCAAATGGCTCTAGATGCTGAACTTGACCTGGTTTGTCCTTTTCTCTCTGGTGAAAAGAAAGTTTGACCCTTATATAAGATTTATACTATTACTTGATATTCTTGATTAATTATTATCTTTTGAGGAACCAACTTTGTTCTATTGTGCATATTTGATTATTCTACCTATATTTGTATCGCCTGATAGATTCCCTCAAATCTGCTGTTTATTTTTGAAATTGCTCTTGTAACATTAGTTATTAGTTAAAAAAATAATCATGAACAAGTACATGTACATCTATTGAATAAGAATTTTTAATGATAAATTATCTATAATGATAATGTATGTTAAATAATTGTAAAATCACTGATGAAAAATGATTAATTTGATATAATGCATCTTTTATGTTATCATAAATTAGAAGAGATGTTTGTAGAAAGGATTTATAGTCAAATTTCTTATATAGATATACATATATAAGAAATAAATAACAATTTTTTTTTCTTGTATAGATATACATATATAAGAAATAAATAAGATTTTTTTTGGTAGGATCGGGATCGTAGTGCGATGCTACACGATTTTATGACTAGGATCGTAGTCACTTTAGGATCCTACTAAATTTAAGATCCTAGTGCGATCCGAATCGTTTAGCCCAACTAGTGTCGTAGAATGATCCTACGATCCGGATCGAGATTCTAATAACCATGTGAAGAACCTGTTTACATCATCTGATAAGATCATTTTCTAAAATACTGAGGTTGTGGAAGAATCTTATGGCTTGGGCTTTTTGGATTCTCTCAATTCAGGGTGGTAGTCTTCTTCTTTTTTTTTTTTTCCTTTTAAATATATTGCCAAAAACATTGTTATTCCAATTTCTAGCGTAGGCTTCAAGAAAATTATCAGGAATATCATTCCAGTTTTTTCTAACTTAATTATTTTGGTCAGGATGGATAAACCAAGAAGCTTGAAGTCTGAAGGATTTATTGACAAAATAATTAGGAATCATACTTGAGGTATACACCAAACTGGGTCAGTCATATGAATAAACTTGTGGAATATGAAGTAACATTGCATCAGGGAACAACACTTTGCAAGCCATAATGATCAGCGTGTCAAGCCGTTCTGTGGTAGTGACAAACCTGTTTCTCCCATTTGTCCATATGAACTTAGGTCCTATAAATCCAAGATCCATCAGATTACACTTATCCAAATTTCTGTTGAATTCCATTTGTCTATTGTGGAGGAAAGTGTTTCCGTGGCCTCTTCTTTTTGCTTGATTTTTGAAATCCCGAATTGTAAAGGAGCGCCCTCCACCCCCCAAAGTTAAACATCCTAGTTTTCAAAATTTTGTCAAGTAACAATAAAGTGGCTAGAGTAATGGCTAAATTCAAAAAAAGTAAGAGAGACTTCATGTGGAGTCCATAGGATCTAGATTCCACCTAATCTTCTCTCAGGGTCCACATATTGAGAGTAAGTTAAGCCAAACTAATTAAAGAAAGTAGCCAAACAGAGGAACTCTTGGTTTGCAAAGCATCAGTAATTGTGGCATGTGGTCTTTTATGTTGTGGCCCTTCTAAACTTGTCGTTACCTACTCCTTGACAATTCCATGTTAGGCGGCACATTGATGAAGAATGTTAGCTTCTTGCTATGGGGGTTTCAATACCCTAGTTCATTATTTTTCTCACTTCCATTTGATTCATTATGTCTGTTGTTGTTGCTGCCAAGTGGACACTGTGGTATGGGTTTCTCTCGACAAGTGAGGCTCTATTAAAAACTGTATTTGCTTGATCTTCCAAGCTATACATTAGAAACTTGGACTCTGTTTCTCACTGAGTTGCTTCTTAGGTAGGCTTGGTTTAGCCATATCTCTTTCATCTTCCACTGGCTTGTGAACTTTATATGGTAGATTGGAGATATCCCTCTTTAGATCATCCGATTTGTGGTTAAAAGAACTTGGAGAGTGCGAGGGCTTAAGCTGCTTCTTTCTCCTTGTACGTTCTGAGAATGATCAAGGGTTTCACTAGATGGGGATTCAAAAGCATCATGACACGAGTTAGATGGGGAGTCTCTGATCTGGAAGGCCAATATTAGCCCTTCGATCAAGATCTGAATGCCCCACTTCATTATTGATTGTGGCTGGGTATAACTTGACTAATAATAGGTGTCAGTGGTTCCTGTAAAGAGAACAAGTGTTTTTCTAGCTGGAGAGTAATAGCTCCTATTATATTTTATACTTGTCTCATCTGATCTCAGATTTTTAGCATGGGCCTTATCAACAAGGATGTTTATTTAGGCCTTTCTCTCTCTTGCAATTTCTTGGCCCTCCGCAGAATGAAGAGCCCTGAATCGGTTGCATTGATCTTTAAAAGTTGACACATTAGGTTTGGGCTTCCGATGCTTCCTAGTAACCAGCTTACATGGGCCAATTTTTTTCTCCTCTTGGGCTTTTGGAGGTCCATTGTTATGTGTTTCCCATTCATTTTGCCCATGTTAGTTACAATGGCCAGAGAACTAGCCATTTCCGGGATCTTCTTTGTCATGTATTCTCCTTTTTTTCTGACACAAAATTGCAGAGATCTCTTTTGTGGCCTACTCAACCACAATAGTCGCAGATTTATGTTATATACTGGATACCATACTGATATCGTTGGTTGTCCATTCAAATTTTGAAACTAGAGATTTACAAAGATCCGTCACAACTCAGATCGTAGCATATTTAACCCTAGTTGCCGTAGCAATATTCAAATAAATTTGACCCCTTAGCAGCATTCTTTAAGCACTTTCTGATAATCATCTCTCATATCAAATTTGAGAAAGAAACCATGATCTAAATCGATGGCTTAGAAATTACACTGTAAGCCCTACAAGTTCTTAACTCCAGAGATAATAACCTGATGAGGCAGTCTTTCCAGGGTTTACGAATTTTTCAATTCAATCTGGCTGTAGGTAGATCTTAGGGATTTTTGAGTCAGAGTTGTCCATGCCATCCTCTTTCAAGATATTCGTTAGGCAAATCTTCTCCAATTTGTCCTTGTCATCCTCTTCTGTATCAAGATGTTCATTAGGCAAATCTTCTCCAATTTCTTCATCTTCATCTAATTAGCAGTAGGGTTTCTTTGAATGATTTGCCTTTTAGGTTTTCCTCTTTTGTTAGGTTTTCCCCTTTTCTGACATCTGTGGTCGTTAGTTCTTCCTTAACTTCATCTCTGCTAAGATGCTGAGCATTTTTTACTTCCATCCGGTCAGGCTGAGGATCTCCTTCACCGTTTTTTGATTTTCTTAGTGCTCCACCCAAGGTGATACTCTTCTTTGACTTTGGTAATTTCGCTATCAGTAGCCGTTGTCTTAGAGCTCATTTTCCCCAATCAATGGTTTTGTCAAACGTTTAACTATTCTGTATTTTTTATTTTTTTATTTTGTGCAGTTGTGGAAAGTGTTTGCCTTTTGAGCTTATCATGTGGCAGTGTGCTGGAGTGTATTTGATTATATTTCTATTGTTACTAATGCAGGTAATCTTATCGCCAGATGCAGATCCACCAGTTGTCAGGATAATGGATTACAAGTACAACATGCACTCACAAACATTCTTCTGCTTTCTTTTTTTAATGGTGGATGCACTTTGATGCTTCGATAAAATCCTGCTCTGAGATCACGTTGATATTAATTTCTTGATGGATACATATTACATTCTACTAATATGGGGCTAATCTTCAGAAAATTTCATGGTGCATATTTTATGAAGATTTATGTGATCTTCACATTATTATTGCAATTGACTAATTTACTTTAGGCTACTATTTTGGACAATTGCTTATAGTTAAGGGCATTGAAAAACAAACATTAAATTTATGACTTGGGGGTGAGACAATGGTTTGAAAATATAGATGTCGAAGTTGATGTTCTATACCTTACCTATATTTTGTATGTTGCTTATCTGTCTTGTGAATGGTTAGACTTGATGCGTATTGCTATCTAATTTTACTTCCCTTGCAGTAAATATAGATATGAACTGCAAAAGAAGAAAAGGGAACAACAGAAGAAAAGTATTGGTGAATGTCTCCTCTGTTTGTAGTTTGCTGTTTTTCTCTTATTTATGCATTAATGATCAGTTATGAGGAAAGATACTAATAAAATTATGCACCTGAATGATAGCCAACAGGGTGGATTTGAAGGAGCTCAAGATGGGGTAATTAACTTGGCCTTTGAATCTCGCTTTCACTTATAATCTTCCTATGAAAATTTGCATATTGTTTTCCATTGCCTTCTTGTCTTTTAATTTCCCAATGACTTCATCTCCTTTGTAATTCGTGGATGTGCCTTTGAATGTTGAAATGCACATAGAACATGGGAAGTGTAGTTTCAATTAAAAAAGTGTCAAATTTAGCAAAACAATCTGATATACTACTGATTGGTATTCGAACTTGCCCAACCTGAAACTTGGGATATTAACATCTTGCTACATTTGGGAATGAGCAATTGTTCTTACTGTTCTTTCTTATTTTTGACTGAAATAAATGGTGGAAATTGGATTTTAATGAATGACATATTCTGTTTTACCAATTAAAGGTGTAAATAGGGAAAATGTAGGCCAACTTTGTGATGTGGTCAGCGTGGATGTTGAATTGTCAATATGTAGCTGTTAAACCTGATCATCCATTGTACTTACACATCATAAGATCGATCACAGTTAGGACCAGCCATGAAATACCCAGTTGGAGGGGAAATATACACCTCAACCTTGTGTCTTTTGTGCACTTGTTTTTATTTATACTTTATTTGTGTTGGTAATCTACCCTTTTATTGGGATGTTTCATATCTATTGTGTTGAATCGCTTGACTTCTGAACTCATGGGGTAATGTTCAAGTGTATTGTTGACCAGTTGAATTTTATATAAAATATTTTGGATTTACACATACATTCAATTCAATGTACAAAGTCATGTCAAGGATAGGAGGGTAGTATACACCTCTTTTTGGCAGATGATGTGGTTGTCTCTGTGAGATTTGAGTACTTCTATTAGATCTCAAAAAAGAAAAAGAAAACAAAGAAGAGAACTGTGTACCTCACTTCTACTATTGGGCTTATTTATTTATAATTTTTATGTTTCGGCAACCCACCCTTTTATTTGTTTTTTCTAATGTACTACATTGAATACTACACTTCTAATCGTAGAATTTGACATTTCACATAATATTTATTATCTATCATAGATTAGTTGAATTTTTATCAACTGTTTTGGATTCAACATAAATGCATTTAATGAAAGTCCCAGCAATGACTTGATTAGCTTGTAGTGAGTTGGGTTCCAGTTCTTTTGAGGATATGTAACAAATGTTTTTATTAGAATCTGTATATCATGGTTTGGTAAAAATCTTACATGCTTAAAACCCCTTTCTGCAATGTTGAACACTAAATGAGGTAAATGTTTATTTATTTATTTGTATATGGCTTTATATTTGTAAATTTAACATCTATTTTTTAAGCTTCTCTCCATTTTAATGCACATTTTTGTGGGTCTTTATACAACTCAAAATCTTGTTTTGATAAACAAGTATAGAACTTTTTGTTACTAAATGCATGTCTGTTTATTTTACTTGTTTCTATTGATTCTGTTGACAGTTACAACATCGATGTGCATGATTATACTGTGCGTTTGAAAGCTGCACGGAAGTTTCTGAATGATGGAGACAAGGTGGTTTTGAATTTTTTTTGTGGTGCCAGCATGTTCATACTGACACACTAATTTATGAATGATTATGCATTCATTTTACTATATTGATAGCTAGTCAATTCCTGCAGGTTAAGATTATAGTGAACTTGAAGGGCCGTGAAAATGAGTTCAGAAATAATGCTATTGAGCTTATTAGGCGTTTTCAGAATGATGTTGGGGAGGTACTTGTATCTATCTCATTGTTCAGAATCTTTCATACTTCTATCCTGGTGCCAACTTTTTTAGACATTCGACATAAGTTGTAAAAAATGAATATCGTACAGTGATAATGAATTTTTAATTGTTGGATAGAAGTGTATAGGAAAATTTATGATCTGAAGTTACTATTTAATTATTTAATGTTATAGTATTCATTGTGAATAATTAGTCAACAATATTTCTGTTCTATTGTACCTATGATTTAGGATCAACTGTGGTATCCTTCTTCCATTTTAGCCTTGGCGATTATGTTTACTTTAATGTTTCTAAAACCATAAGAAGGAGAAATCTGCTATATTTGCTATTAGTTCCTTCACTGAACTAGAAGTGCAAGTGCTTGTGCTGCTATATTTGTTGCTTTTGTTCTCAGCACTAGCTTATTCTGGACACAAGATGCTAGCTGATCAATTAAGGGCCGTGTTTGAATATTTCCATGTGCATGGAAATCGAACATGCTCCTGCCTTTCTTTGCAGAGTCAGATGCAAAAACTCACCATCTGGATGGAGACTCTACAAGAATTACTTTAATTCCTGTCCAATGATATTTTAATTATGCCCTATGAGAAATAGTATCAACTCATATTAGTGATTTCAACATGACATTGGTGTAGTTCTACATTATGTAAAGTGTTTTACCTTGCTCCCACGGTGTTCAATTTTATGGAATCCCAATAAGTGGTTCTACTGAGGTCCCATCCTATGATACACGGATACGGACACGGACACGGACACGACATAGATACGCGGACACTCAAATTTTCAAAAAATGGGAGACACGATACGCTAGGGACACGCTTAATATATATAATTTTATTTATTTATTATATGTAAAATTTAAAAATATAAATATTATTTATTTATTTTAATATCAAATATTATTCACAAATTAAAATTTTCTTATAAATAAAAATAATTTATTTAAACAAATAATAATATCTAAAAAATAGAAAAAAGGTTTTTTCTTATATAGATATACATATAGAAGAAATAAATAATAAGATTTTTTCTTATATAGATATACATATATAAGAAATAAATAATAAGATTTTTTTTGGTAGGATCGGGATCGTAGTGCGATGCTACACAATTTTATGACTAGGATCATAGTCACTTTAGGATCCTACTAAATTTAAGATCCTAGTGCGATCTGAATCGTTTAGCCCAACTAGTGTCATAGAATGATCCTACGATCCGGATCGAGATTCTGATAACCATGTTAAGAACCTGTTTACATCGTCTGATAAGATCATTTTCTAAAATACAGAGGTTGTGGAAGAATCTTATGGCTTGGGCTTTTTGGATTCTCTCAATTCAGGGTGGTAGTCTTCTTCTTTTTTTTTTATTAAATATATTGCCAAAAACATTGTTATTCCAATTTCTAGCGTAGGCTTCAAGAAAATTATCAGGAATATCAATCGAGTTTTTTCTAACTTAATTATTATGGTCAAGATGGATAAACCAAGAAGCTTGAAGTCTGAAGGATTTATTGACAAAATAATTAGGAATCATACTTGAGGTATACACCAAACTGGGTCAGTCATATGAATAAACTTGTGGAATATGAAGTACCATTGCATCAGGGAACAACACTTTGCAAGCCATAATGATCAGCGTGTCAAGCCGTTCTGTGGTATTGACAAACCTGTTTCTCCCATTTGTCCATATGAACTTAGGTCCTATAAATCCAAGATCCATCAGATTACACTTATCCACATTTCTGTTGAATTCCATTTGTCTATTGTGGAGGAAAGTGTTTCCGTGGCCTCTTCTTTCTGCTTGATTTTTGAAATCCCGAATCGTAAAGGAGCCCCCCACCCCCAAAGTTAAACAACCTAGTTTTCAAAATTTTGTCGAGTAACAATAAAGTGGCTAGAGTAATGGCTAAATTCAAAGAAAGTAAGAGAGACTTCATGTGGAGTCCATAGGATCTAGATTCCACCTAATGTTCTCTTAGGGTCCACATATTGAGAGTAAGTTAAGCCAAACTAATTAAAGAAAGTAGCCAAACAGAGGAACTCTTGGTTTGCAAAGCATCAGTAATTGTGGCATGTGGTCTTTTATGTTGTGGCCCTTCTAAACTTGTCGTTACCTACTCCTTGACAATTCCATGTTAGGATGCATGTTGATGAAGAATGTTAGCTTCTTGCTATGGGGGTTTCAATACCCTAGTTCATTATTTTTCTCACTTCCATTTGATTCGTTATGTCCGTTGTTGTTGCTGCCAAGTGGACACTGTGGTATGGGTTTCTTTCGACAAGTGATGCTCTACTAAAAACTGTATTTGCTTGATCTTCCAAGCTATACATTAGAAATTTGGACTCTGTTTCTCACTGAGTTGCTTCTTAGGTAGGCTTGGTTTAGCCATATCTCTTCCATCTTCCACTGGTTTGTGAACTTTATATGGTAGATTGGAGATATCCCTCGTTAGATCATCCGATTTGTGGTTAAGAGAACTTGGAGAGTGCGAGGGCTTAAGCTGCTTCTTTCTCCTTGTATGTTCTGAGAATGATCAAAGGGTGTCACTAGATGGGGATTCAAAAGCATCATGACACGAGTTAGATGGGGAGTCTCTGATCTGGAAGGCCAATATTAGCCCTTCGATCAAGATCTGAATGCCCCACTTCATTATTGATTGTGGCTGGGTATAACTTGACTAATAATAGGTGTCAGTGGTTCCTGTAAAGAGAACAAGTGTTTTTCTAGCTGGAGAGTAATAGCTCCTATTATATTTTATACTTGCCTCATCTGATCTCAGATTTTTAGCATGGGCCTTATCAACAAGGATGTTTATTTAGGCCTTTCTCTCTCTTGCAATTTCTTGGCCCTCCGCAGAATGAAGAGCCCTGAATTGGTTGCATTGATCTTTAAAAGTTGACACATTAGGTTTGGGCTTCCGATGCTTCCTAGTAACCAGCTTACATGGGCCAATTTTTTTCTCCTCTTGGGCTTTTGGAGGTCCATTGTTATGTGTTTTCCGTTCATTTTGCCCATGTTAGTTACAATGGCCAGAGAACTAGCCATTTCCAGGATCTTCTTTGTCATGTATTCTCCATTTTTTCTGACACAAAATTGCAGAGATCTCTTTTGTGGCCTACTCAACCACAATAGTCGCAGATTTATGTTATCTACTTTATACCATATTGATATCGTTGGTTGCCCATTCAAATTTTGAAACTAGAGGTTTACAAAGATCCGTCACAACTCAGATCGTAGCATATTTAACCCTAGTTGCCGTAGCAATATTCAAATAAATTTGACCCCTTAGCAGCATTCTTTAAGCACTTTCTGATAATCATCTCTCATATCAAATTTGAGAAAGAAACCATGATCTAAATCGATGGCTTAGAAATTACACTGTAAGCCCTACAAGTTCTTAACTCCAGAGATAATAACCTGATGAGGCAGTCTTTCCAGGGTTTACGAATTTTTCAATTCAATCTGGCTGTAGGTAGATCTTAGGGATTTTTGAGTCAGAGTTGTCCATGCCATCCTCTTTCAAGATATCCATTAGGCAAATCTTCTCCAATTTGTCCTTATCATCCTCTTCTGTATCAAGATGTTCATTAGGCAAATCTTCTCCAATTTCTTCATCTTCATCTAATTAGCAGTAGGGTTTCTTTGAATGATTTGCCTTTTAGGTTTTCCTCTTTTGTTAGGTTTCCCCCTTTTCTGACATTTGTGGTTGTTAGTTCTTCCTTAACTTCATCTCTGTTAAGATGCTGAGCATTTTTTACTTCCATCCGGTCAGGCTGAGGATCTCCTTCACCGTTTTTTGATTTTCTTAGTGCTCCACCCAAGGTGATACTCTTCTTTGACTCTGGTAATTTTGCTATCAGTAGCCGTTGTCTTAGAGCTCATTTTCCCCAATCAATTGTTTTGTCAAACGTTCAACTATTCTGTATTTTTTATTTATTTATTTTGTGCAGTTGTGGAAAGTGTTTGCCTTTTGAGCTTCTCATGTGGCATTGTGCTTGAGTTTATTTGATAATATTTCTATTGTTACTAATGCAGGTAATATTATCGCCAGATGCAGATCCACCAGTTGTTAGAATAATGGATTACAAGTACGACATGCACTCACAAACATTCTTCTGCTTTTTTTTTTTTTTTTATGGTGGATGCACTTTGATGCTTCGATAAAATCCTACTCTGAGATCACGTTGATATTAATTTCTTGATGGATACATATTACATTATACTAATATGGGGCTAATCTTCAAAAAATTTCATGGTGCATATTTTATGAAGATTTATGTGATCTTCACATTATTATTGCAATTGACTAATTTACTTTAGGCTACTATTTTGGACAATTGCTTATAGTTAAGGGCATTGAAAAACAAACATTAAATTAAGGCTTGGGGGTGAGACAATGGTTTGAAAATATAGATGGTGAAGTTGATGTGCTATCCCTTTCCTATATTTTGTATGTTTCTTATCTGTCTTGTGAATGGTTAGACTTGATGCGTATTGATATCTAATTTTACTTCCCTTGCAGTAAATATAGATATGAACTGCAAAAGAAGAAAAGGGAACAACAGAAGAAAAGTATTGGTGAATGTCTCCTCTGTTTGTAGTTTGCTGTTTTTCTCTTATTTATGCATTAAGGATCAGTTATGAGAAAGATACTAATAAAATTATGCACCTGAATGATAGCCAACAGGGTGGATTTGAAGGAGCTCAAGATGGGGTAATTAACTTGGCCTTCGAATCTCGCTTTCACTTATAATCTTCCTATTAAAATTTGCATATTGTTTTCCATTGCCTTCTTGTCTTCTAATTTCCCAATGACTTCATCTCCTTTGTAATTTGTGGATGTGCCTTTGAATGTTGAAATGCACATAGAACATGGGAAGTGTAGTCTCAATTAAAAAAGTGTCAAATTTACCAAAACAATCTGATATACTACTGATTGGTATTCGAACTTGCCCAATCTGAAACTTGGGATATTAACATCTTGCTACATTTGGGAATGAGCAATTGTTCTTACTGTTCTTTCTTATTTTTGACTGAAATAAATGGTGGAAATTGAATTTTAATGAATGATATCATTCTGTTTTACTTAAAGGTGTGCATAGGGAAAATGTAGGCCAACTTTGTGGTGTGGTCAGCATGGATGTTGAATTGTCGATACGTAGCTGTTAAACCTGATCATCCATTGTACTGACACCTCATAAGATCGATCACAGTTAGGACCAGCCATGAAATACCCAGTTGGAGGGGAAATATGCACCTCAACCTTGTGTCTTTTGTGCACTTGTTTTTATTTATAATTTATTTGTGTTGGTAATCTACCCTTTTATTGGGATGTTTCATATCTACTGTGTTGAATCGCTTGACTTCTGAACTCATGGGGTAATGTTCAAGTGTATTGTTGACCAGTTGAATTTTATATAAAATATTTTGGATTTACACATACATTCAATTCAATGTACAAAGTCATGTCAAGGATAGGAGGGTGCTATACACCTCTTTTTGGCAGATGATGTGGTTGTGTGTGTGAGATTTGAGTACTTCTATTAGATCTCAAAAAAGAAAAAGAAATCAAAGAAGAGAACTGTACACCTCACGTCTACTATTGGGCTTACTTATTTATAATTTTTATGTTTCAGCAACCCACCCTTTTATTTGTTTTTTCAAATGTACTACATTGAATACTACACTTCTAATCGTAGGATTTGACATTTCACATAATATTTATTATCTGTCATAGATTAGTTGAATTTTTATCAACTGTTTTGGATTCAACATAAATGCATTTAATGAAGAAAGTCCCAGCAATGACTTGATTAGCCTGTAGTGATTTGGGTTCCAGTTCTTTTGAGGATATGTAACCAACGTTTTTATTAGAATCTGTATATCATGGTTTGGTAAAAATCTTGCATGCTTAAAATCCCTTTCTGCAATGTTGAACACTAAATGAGGTAAATGTTTATTTATTTATTTGTATCTGGCTTTATATTTGTAAATTTAACTTTTCTTCTATTTTTTAAGTTTCTATCCATTTTAATGCACATTTTTGGGGGTCTTTATACAACTGAAAATCTTGTTTTGATAAACAAGTACAGAACTTTTTGTTACTAAATGCATTTCTGTTTATTTTACTTGTTTCTATTGATTCTGTTGACAGTTACAACATCGATGTGCATGATTATACTGTGCGTTTGAAAGCTGCACGGAAGTTTCTGAATGATGGAGACAAGGTGGTTTTGAATTTTTTTGTGGTGCCAGCATATTCATACTGACACACTAATTTATGAATGATTATGCATTCATTTTACTATATTGATATCTAGTCAATTCCTGCAGGTTAAGATTATAGTGAACTTGAAGGGCCGTGAAAATGAGTTCAGAAATAATGCTATTGAGCTTATAAGGCGTTTTCAGAATGATGTTGGGGAGGTACTTGTATCTATCTCGTTGTTCAAAATCTTTTTATACTTCTATCCTGGTGCCAACTTTTTTAGACATTCGACATAAGTTATAAAAAATGAATATCGTACAGTGATAATGAATTTTTAATTGTTGGATTGAGTGTATAGGAAAATTTATGATCTGATGTTACTATTTGATTATTTAATGTCATAGTATTCATTGTGAATAATTAGTCAACAATATTTCTGTTCTATTGTACCTATGATTTAGGATCAACTGTGGTATCCTTCTTCCATTTTAGCCTTGGCAATTATGTTTACTTAATGTTTCTAAAACCATAAGAAGTAGAAATCTGCTATATTTGCTATTAGTTCCTTCACTGAACTAGAAGTGCAAGTGCTTGTGCTGCTATATTTGCTGCTTTTGTTCTCAGCACTAGCTTATTCTGGACACAAGATGCTAATTGATCAATTAAGGGTCGTGTTTGAATATTTCCATGTGCATGGAAATCGAACATGCTCCTGCCTTTCTTTGCAGATTCAGATGCAAAAACTCACCATCTGGGTGGAGACTCTACAAGAATTACTTTAATTCCCGTCCAATGATATTTTAATTATGCCCTATGAGAAATAGTATCAACTCATATTAGTGATTTCAACATGACGTTGGCGTTGTTCTACATTATGTAAAGTGTTTTACCTTGCTCCCACAGTGTTCAATTTTAAGGAATCCCAATGAGTGGTTCTACTGAGGTCCCATCCTATGATACACGGACACGGACACGGACACGACACAGATGTGCAGACACTCAAATTTTTAAAAAATAGGGGACACGATACACTAGAGACACGCTTAATATATATAATTTTATTTATTTATTATATGTAAAATTTAAAAAGATATATTATTTATTTATTTACTTTAATATCAAATTTCATTTACAAATTATTTTTTTCATACAAATAAAAATAATTTATTTTATGTATGCTTAAGTTGAGCAAATAAGAATACTCAAAAAATAGAAAAAAAATAAAAAGAGGAAATAAAAAAAGAAGGTTTTTTTTTTTTTTTGGTTAATATATATATATAAAATATATCAGAGGAGAGAGAGAGAGAGAGACGATCGCGCAAAAAGAAGAGAGAGAATCGAAGAGGCAGAGTCGATGAGTTCAACACTAGCGAGAGACAAAGTTGAAAGCAAGAGAGAGAGAGAGAGAGAGAGAGAGAGAGAGACACACACACACACAGACACACGAATAGAGACGAACAGAAGAAGAAGAAGAAAAACAAAGAAGAAAAGAAGAATAATAGATTTGAAGAAACGAAGACAGATTTGAAGAACACAGAGACTACTCACGGAGAGAGACGAATAGAAGAAGAAAAACGAAGAAAAAAGAAGAAGAAAAGAAGAAGAATAATAGATTTGAAGAAACAAAGACAGATTTGAAGAACACACCTCGCTTTAGGGCTTCAACAAGTTCTTCACTCTCTCTCTCTCTCCGTATTCAATTAGTTAGGGTTTATCTCTCTGTATTCAACGATTTAGGGTTTCTCTCTCTCTGTATTCAACGAGTTAGGGTTTCTCTCGCTGTGTCTCTAACGTGTCCCAAGCGTGTCCAGCTGGAAAAATTCAAAAAAAAAAGGGAGACACGTTAGGTAGAGTGTCCGACGCGTGTTCATGTCCGACATGTGTCGGACACCCATACACTGTCTTTAGAGAGGTGTCTGTATTTCATAGGTCCATCTCATTTGATTTTCTGATTCATGGGAAAACCAGTATCAATTTGGTTCGATAGGCTTTTTTTGCTTTATCTTTGTGCTGATTTGGTGTAATCTAGTTTGAATGATGTTTTCTAGGATTAATATATATGTATACTTTTTTGCATAAAAGAAAGTAAAGAAAACATAGACAAGCTATCAGCTACCTTGTTATTGGGTTTCTTGAATAGCTTTACGAATTTAGTTCCCTTTTCAAGTCTTTGTACAACATATATGTAATTTGTCGGTTTCTCAAGCCTTAATTTGTTCAGTACTGCAATTTTTCAGCTTGCAACTGAGGAGAGCAAAAACTTCAGGGACAGGAACATATTTATAGTTTTGGCTCCTAATAAGGCTGTCGTACAGAAAGCTCAAGAACCACCAAAGAAAAAGGAAAAATCAGCAGTGAATGAGGTTTCGGCTGGTGTTTGAAGGCACTCAGAAGAGTTGTGATGGCTTTTGAAGGTAGATCAATCAAATCAGCATATAGACATAGTTTATATTCTTCTCCAAACCAGAGATCTCACAATCTTGTATAGCATGAGTGTAATATAATTTGTACAAGAATATCTGTGTTTGATCTTAATTACAAAAAACCAGCATTTTGAGCTCTAATTGTACTAACATCTGGTAGGAGCACCTAGTAATTGACATTCGTTTTATTATTCCCTTTATAAAATGAAATAGAATCCATGTAATCTGAGGTACTTTTTGTTTTTTATTTTTTAGTTGTTTATAATAAACTCTGGATTCTACATGAATAATGTTTGAAGTCCCCATTATTGTTGTTATTAATGCCTTTTTCTTTTCTTAACACAAAGTGATTGAACTGTTGGATTGATCTAGAGATAGACATGTAGAACTGCTTGATGTGCTTGTGCTTGTGCTTGCTTCTTGTTGGCCCCTTTCCTAATAGGTTAAGCTTTTGGGATTAGCGGTGCTCTAACATGGTATCAGTGCTTAGGTTAGTAGAGGTCTTGTGTTTAAGGTTCTCCGTTTGCATTTGCTTTCCGTCCCCTTTTTGTTTTTCTTTTTGTTTGGGTGATCGCATGTTTATGTGCAAGATGGGATTGCTCGTGAGGAAAGATTGTGAGCTTGGTATCCAATAATAAGCCTCTTGGAGAGCTTAATATCTATTATTGGGCCTTTTGGGTAACATAGTAAACGTTTGAGATTAGTGTTGTCTAATAACATCATGCATAAGGCATCGTTGGGAGAAATCTTGGATTTAGGGCTCTTTTCGTTTGCATTTTCCATTTGATTTCTGTTTCTTTCTTTGTTTGGGTGATTGCATTTTCATGTGCAATATTGAATTGCATATAAGGGAGGGTGCTGGACAACTTGATATCTATTGTTGGGCCCATTTCATATCAAAGTAAATGCTTGAGATGAATGATGTCTAAAACCATCACGTATAGCATATGATTGGTTTAGCTTTTGGATAATTTTATTCACACAACAAAATTAACTCATTACACCAAATTTCTTATTATACCACACAAAAATTTAAAATTTTGACTCTCTTTACACTTGTCATAATACCAATGATATTCTCATTTCTGAACCCTCAACCTTCCAAACCCTAACTCTACCCTACCACCTCCAGCAATCATTTTTGCCATTTTCGGCAACCATTGTTGCCAGTCCCTCTCCCACCAGTGACCTCTCTTTCCCACTAGAACATCTCTTTTAGCGATCGTCTCTACCACTGCCACCACTTTTCGGCTCCCCTTTGCAATCGTGACCCTCCTTTCCTAACCCCTTGGCAACTGCAATCTTCCCTTCCTAACCAATTTGCCATTGCAACCCCATCTCTATCTTTGTCTCTGTCTCTGTCTCATAAATCTAGGGTTACAGAATGGCGAGTATAGAAGAAAGAATGGCGATAGTGGTGACATGAGGAGGCGATAGTGGTGACATGAGGATGCGATAGTGCACAACATATGGGGGATGTTTTGGAGAGGGTTTTGAGGTGGCTGCGAGGAAGGTGGGGGGTAGGGGGGAAGCAAGACAAAAGGTTTCGAGGTGGGTCACCAGTCTACAGTAGTAGAAGTCGTCGGGGTGAGAGTCGTGGTTGCGGGGTTGCTAGGATGGCGACACAACAAGGTTGGGGGCTTGATTGGTGAGGTCTCGACGAGGGAGGGCTGTGGGAGATGGTTGCGGGGTGGAAGAGGTGGTCGGAAATGAAGGAAATGGTGGCAAGTGGTGCTGTGGTGGTAAAGTAAGTGGGGTAGGCAATGGTGTCGACGCGGGCAAAAGAGGTGGTTGAAGAAATGGGTTAGAGAAATTAGGGTTAGAAAATTTTAGAATTTGTCTATTTTGGTAATTTGATTTAAGGATAAAATGCTAATTAAAAAAAGTAAAAATGGTGGAGTGTAATGAGATAAAAATGTGGTGGAAGCAGAATTACCTTTTTATGTATAACTACCGGTAGGTGTAAATGCACGTTTAAATTTTTGAATGGTTTGATGATTTGAGGATGGTTTTGATGAATGAGAAAAAGCCATTAAGTAGTATTAGATAGTCTCCTAAATGAGAAATCCATTTAATAGTCATAAGATATGACAATTACTGAATGTGAAGGGTATTTTTGACCCAAAAAAATAAAAAATAAAAAAATGACAGCATTCACACCTAATGAGATGCGTGATTTATATAATAGAATAAATGTGAGATTTGTGTATAACAATGTGTGGATATAAAAGGGAGTGGTATGTTGTCTGTCTAGATGATGGAGAAGTACCAACTTTCCAGCTCAACAAAGTCTTTGAATGCCTTCTTTTGAAGGTTCTTCCATCTCAAGCATTCTGTTTCTCAGCATGTATTTTTCTTCTCCTTTGAAAGCAATGGATTTGTGCCCTACAGAGTATTATTGTCATTATTATTATAGTATACAAGGTTGGTGGACAGGTGAGTCAGACCAGAGTTGAGGGAAAGCTACAGTTGGTTGGATAATCACATTCCATCTAGTTCTCTAATTGGGTATGAAGTGTCTGTCTAAACCAACCATGGTTAAGGAAGTTAACATCTTTGAAAAATTTATGGACAAAGTAATTGTTTTCACTGCATGTTTCAAATCTAATATTGAGAAACAATTGATTGAAAAGGGTATGTGTTAAATATCAATGGTAGAAGATTGAAAATGAGCTTTTGAGCATATAGATAGAGGTTGTTTAGTTAAATTTATAATCATGTTTGTTTAAGGTGGAATGTGTTTTTTAAGCTTTTTACTCTGTAAGTTGAAATTTGCAAATAGGATTACAAATGGGTCAATCCCACCCAACCTCATCTTATCTCACTTTCTTTGATCTTTCTCCTTTTCCTTTCATTTCCATTTCCCTTTCCATTTCCCTTCCCAAAACCCCCAACCAAACACAGCGTTCCCAAAACCCCCAACCAAACACAGCGTAAATTTTTTACTAAACTTTTCATGAGGGTGTAGGATCCACGCACATGTGAGAGGTTATGCAAGCATGATTTTACTTTTGTTTTTGAATTATGTGGTAAACGATTAGTTGTAACTCTTGTTTACGACTTATACAATAAAAATAACTTAAATACGTTGAAAAAGAAATAATTAATCTAAAACTAAAAAGGGACACTTTTACATTCTGCTTATACATGAAAATCAATTTTCAACATAGAATGAACTTGTAGCAAATGTTCATCATTATTCTAATAAATTGAGAAAAAAGCAAAAAGAGTTATCATTAAATTGAATGATATGTAAAGGCGATTAATGATGTGTTCATGTTTTCAACCTGTTACGTGTAAGATAAATCTAGTTATATTATTGTATGATACATTGATATACTCATTATAGAAGGCATTGCATATTAAAATGGGGAAGCACACTATATTGTACTAATCATCAATTAGAAGGTCTTATTATTCAAAGGTAATCAAAGGGCTATTTTAAACTGTATTTGGATAATGAATTTGAATAGAAATTTGAAAAGAAAAAAAAAGAAAAAGTGAGAAAAATAAAATGAAATAAAAGAGTATCTCCACCCAAACCTCCAAAATTTGGTATGTCAATTTTTTTGAAGGCTTGGATGACAAATTGGTATATTTCAATTTGACATGGAAGTTTTTCACTCGACATGTCAAATCTATTATTATGTTATTTTTAAAATTTAAACTCTTTTGAGGTCATCTTTCAAGACAACCACCTTGGATGCTTTAATTGAAAAAAAAAAAAAAAAAAAAAAAGGCATCAAAGAGTCTTCTCAAACAAAATTCTTAATATGTCTGGATTTGAGTCTTCTCAAACAATTTTCACTACTTAAGAAAAAACAAAAACTCTTATTCAAGGGGTCAAATTTTTTCTCCAACTATTTTTGTGACATTGATGCATAGTCCCTTTTTATTTATTTATTTATTTTTTGTTTTTATAATTTTCTTATCAGTGAGTTGAATAAGATCAATCACATAGTGGACTCTGATCCACTTACAAATGTGTTAATAAAATTATTAATAAAAATCGTTAGTGTCCCATTGTTGGACTCTGATCAATCACATAAGATGATTTTTTTAACAAATTATCTTGTGACATATCCTATTGTAGTATGATCATATTTGTATAATATAAATTAATAGAAATACTTAAGATATAGTTTTTTTAATTTTTTATTGTGTTGAAAGAAATTAATTGCTTTTCACATGCTACTTATGATTTTCATTTTGAGATGGGCTTTTCTCCAATTCATAATTGGATTAGATCGTACTGTTGGCCTCGTGAAACCCACCAAATTGTATATATAGGATCTGTTCCCTAGTGATTCAACATCAAGGGCAAACACCAAATTGCAATAGAGCTTAGCTCTCTTACGACCACTGTCGTCTAAAGTACTTCAATTAGAGCCATGTGTTGTGAATATTGAACTGTAAAAGGCGTGAGATTCCCAAAAAAATTCTCAATAGTTGAACATCATTGTCTGTTCTAAATTATCGATTTATGCTGATTTATACTAATAAATTTGAATTGTACTGGTTAGTACTAAAAAAATTATCATTAGCAAATCTAAATACATAGATAGTTTTTACAGAATGAGATACAAATATGAGACAAAGAGTATGACCATTGTGTGAAAATCGACGTCCCACTCTGTAAAAATTATTTGTCTGTCATTATGCGAAAATCATTTATGTTTATAGCACGTTTGAATTGTTATTTAGTGAGTTACAAGATTTTATAAAAAAGTAGTTCAAGTTTAAAAAATAGTAGTGAAGTAATTTAAAATATATATATCTATATATAGATATAGATATGTGATTAATATATCTAAATGTTCCAACCGTTTATTCAACAACCTTTTATTCAAAATGTATTTAACAAAAGTGTAAAAATCATATTATTTCTTCCCCTTCAAATTCTTTAGCACAAAAAAGTGACGTGCTTTGTAAAAAACTAACTTTATATTATTTTACTTGTTTGTATTGTGGGGATTTGGCTCCTCTCCACCCTTCATCCGGCCATATTATGGACTAAGAAGTGTTACAAAACGTGGTATGCTTTTAAAAATGCAAATTATATATTTTTTAAAGATTGACAAAAACATGTTAATAATAAGTAACAAATATATTTAAGAATATTCATTTTTTTTTTTATTTAAAGGTTTCTATAAATCGAGAATATTTGATAAATTTAGTATAAATTATTGATAATTCAAGAATGGTAGGCCGAAACACATCGACCCTGGTATATACCATAGTAATGACAAAAAAATAAAACATTGGCTAGTACGGTATTAACATGTAG